TGCACCATGCTTTGTGTGAATGAACAGACAAGCCAAGAAACTGCAATTAGCCACAGCTTCCCTTCACATACAAACCAGGAACAACAGTGAGTTGCTTCCAAATGATCCAGGATCTGGAAGCCAACTTTAAACCATAGCTTTATATTCTGGCTTTAGAAGCCATTGGCAGTAATGATTAACCATAGCTTTATGAGCTGTTTTGCCAAATGAGCTGCCTAAAAATGCTTGAAGCTTCTGCACATCTCAGCTTAAATTGAGATATGATTGTGCACAGTACAGCACAAACTTCATCCATCCCTCTTCTTTTGCTTGTGGTACACATTGTAAGCTGGATGATGTGCCTCTATAAGTGGCTGCATGGGCTGGCTATAAACGTGTGCCTGGTGGCTCCATCTGAAGAAGACAGCTAGGGCTCCGTTTTATTTAGGTCCCTAATCAGCATCCAGTTTCACTAGAGGATCCTTCTGAAGAGAGGGTGGAGGGGAGCAGGCTAGTGCTCCCATACCACAGCAGAGTCTCAGCAAGACTTCTAGCGGCAACCTTTTCACCACAAGCTTAACTACTGAATTGGCATTGTACAAGGGGGGGAGGAGGAGATCGATCCTGGGGCTGAAAGTTGCTGATCTGCCATTTTGATCCATCTGGAACAGTTTCGTTTCCGCAGAAGCGAAACCGTTCTAGATTTCACCAACAGCCAAAGATTAGGATCTATCCGTATGTCGTTGACAGTGGGCGAAACACTGCTTCCCCATTGGGGTTTCAACCCCCACCCCGTTTCGAGTGTGGACAACCGCGCAGCTATCGCCGCGTTTCAGTGCCTGCCTGGCAGCACAGAGGGGAAGGGGCCTAAGGCGAGGCGACGGGCAAGACTCTTCCCCACGAAGAGGCAGTTGCGCTCCTGCCTTCGCGAAGGCTGCACGTCTCCATGGAAACCGACCCCGAGGAAAGTCACCCACCTACTGAATCCACAGGGATCCAACCACACGAGTCCCGGATCGGGCCAGGCAACGGAAGTGTCGGTTGTCCTGGAAGTGACGGCCGCAGCGATTGTGTGGATGTACGCATGCCCTTGAGACGCCTCCGCCTCCTTTCAATTACCTGACGGGGAAGCGGTTGGTGTTCGCGTGGCCCGCTGGGAAATGTAGTTTCCGACCTCCATGTTTAACCCTTTGTTGTTCAGCTGCTAAATACAAACAAACAGCCGCGGAAGCACGTTTTCTACCCTGTAGTGTAGGGTTATTTCCTTCTCACCACCTCAGATCAAAAACACGCATCTGGATAATTTCACTCTCCGTGGTTCTGAAGAGAGAGAGAGAGAGAGGGAGAGATTAAACCCATGAAGCCATGAATAATTTCTGCTTCTCATCTTTTGACAGAAAAAGGCATATCATGGTCTTTGATTATTTGCTTACAAATTCACCAAAACACCCACCCAAAGAAAAATAAGGCAGCACACTAACAAAGGTCTCATGAAATTTAGGTTTCCCCCGGATTCTCTTTTACTATTTGTTTACTTAGAAAAATACACAATGTTGGGCATCAGAGCCAGTACTAAGTCGTCCCAAAATAGTCTGTTTTGTTTTAAGGGTTCAACTGATGAACTTCCAAGTTCTTACTACTCAGACAGATTGTACCTGCTGCTTGCTACTCTGCACTGAGTCAGTTGTGGTGTAACTGCCCACCCCTGCAAATCTCCAGTCATACCATTACAAAGTTCTCCTTCCCTACAGCATTGTTCAGTAGCTAAATGTGCTTTACTGGGTTGAGCAGCAGCTTAGAGGTAATGAAGTTGCAAGGAAGAATCCTATACATGTCTATACAGAAGTAAGTCCCATTGATTTCAATGGAGCCTACTCAAGGCAAGTGGCTATTGGATCCCTGCCTTAGTTTGCCTTGCTGCCCTGAACAGGTCCACCCAATAGGATATTTTATGCTTTTTCCATCTGGATCCTTTAAAATGTCAGTTAGGGGAAATGTTCATAATATTTTATTATTAAACCACAACTACGTTACATAGCTTTTTTGGGGGGGGTCATGTCGCTCCATTCTTTAGTTGCAGCTACGGAAGGTACCCTTCTCACTCCACTTAGTTACTGACTGAAGCAGAAACAACAGCAAGTGTAGGTGGGGGCCTTTTTGGAAGTGGTCCCCAGACTGTGGAACTTTCTCCTATTGCAGCTCTTTAGCCTCCAACCTGCAAACCTTTCAGTGGGTTTAAAAGCCCATTTATTTCAGAATTGCCCTCTCCTAAATAAAGCCTTCATTGTTGTGGGGGGGGCAGAGGCAGGGGGGAACTACCCATTTTAAAATAGTTCTTCACATTTGCAGGAAATTTACATTGCTGTTTTGTTTCAACTGGTCTACCTTTTCAAGTATTTGCTAACACTGCTGCTGTTGCTGGGTTTTTGGATTGCTGTATGTATTGTGTTTTTATGACATTGTGAACCACCTTGAATGGGCTGTGCCAAAAAAGTGGCAAAGGGCCTATAAATAGTATTATAAATAAAAGGGACCCTAGGTGTCTGGATGTAGGCTAAGTTTGAAGGAGATCAAAGAGGCAGCAGAAGGTAGGGAGAAAAAAGATTAAGCGAAAATGAGAAAGGAAACAAAGTATAAGTCAATATAATCAATTCCTTTGGTACAGCCCATATTCATCTTCAGCAAGAACAGAGTCATCTTCAGAACGCTATTACCATGACAGAGATCCTGGATCCTTTTTATTTGAAGGACATAACAAGATACAGCTTCCAGATGCTTCTGTACCAAACATGATTGGATCAAGTCTGTTGAAGTCAGTAGCACAACCAAGAATGATGTTTTGAGCATCAGACCACTGATTTAACTGCAAACATCACTGTTAATCAAAAAAAGACTTTTCTCCCCTGTTTTGCGGTTTGTTAAAGGTGGCTTATTAACCACAGAAGACCCAAACAGTTTTTATACTACTCTTTGAGTGTTAAAATGAGAAGGAAAGAATGAGATGTTTGCAACTTACGAAACTGACATAGTACTTTGGTGGAAACTGAAGTACAAAGGATCAGGGAGTGCTGTAATTCTAGAACAGCAAGAACAGCCTGTTAGTTTGTTTTATTAGGGCCCTACTTGCATGACTTTCATTCAGCTTGCGGCAACTTAGGTTTTGATCCATCAACCGGGGCTTTTAGCACCGGAAGCAATTGCAGATCCTCAAGGCAAACATAAATACACAAAATAGTTTAGCATGCAACTTTCCTAAGGGAGATGAACTGGGTGACTGTGGAAGTCCTTAAAACAAACATTGATGTTTTCAAAACCTGTACTCAGAGACAGCATCTGCTTGCTGAAGAACTCAAGAATTCAAAAGCTTGCACATTTTTAAGCTGGCAGAAGCTGATCTATCATATCAGATAGGTGTGCCTCCAACTTGTACCTTCAGCCTGCCTGGTGTATGCTTCCACGGATGAAGGCTAGTGTTTCTTAGTCTCTATAGCACCAGCAGGACGTGTTTGGTCTTCCTGCTGCTGCTTAGTAACAGACTAAATGGATGCTACTCCTCGTCGACAGAACTGGACGCCCAAACTCCTCTTGGAGTTAATGGCCCCACATTGATCCCAAGGCCAAATTCGTCTGGGAGGGAATGATGAGGTTGTCGACCTATTCGTTAGGGGATGCCAACTGGGGTGCGGGGTAGCGAAGAGAAAGTCTAAGCAATGACAGAGCCTGTCAAGGTTGAAGAGCGTTGAGAGATCTGGGCCTTTGCGTTTCGGGGTGTCGCCAGATCTTGGAAGTCCTAAAGTGAGTTTCTAGATGTTTTGGGGGCTGGGGTGATGGTGGAGAAGTGCGCCGGAGAATGATATTGCAGATTTGCAGCCCGTGACCCTGAGCTGCGTCTCTCGCCTCTCTCCCTGCGTCAGAGTTTGCCACGGGCGCGCAACGTGGGATTTATCACCTGCGCGTCCTTCTCCCTCCCCACCGCCATCCTTGTCGCCGGAGCCACCCCAGCAGCGCCCCCGTTTGCCCGGCTCCCTGGTCGCCAGCTGCCCGTTCCGCCGATCTCTCCACCCCAGCGTGCCCACTGCGCCTTGCATCCCTGCTGCGGTGGAGCTGGTGGCCCCTGCTTATCGCCTCCCTCTCTGATCCGTGTCTCCGGCCCCTCTCTGACGTAGCAGCAGGCTGAGAGCGGGGAGGAGGGGGGGAAGGAAGAGAGTCGAGGAGGAGGGAGGGAGGGATGGATGACTCACAATGTTATGATGCGGTTCCACAACACACAGCCACATTCGTCTACCGACGAAGCACAAAAGCAGCCCTTCGGCGGCCCTGAAGCTGCGCTCGCCTGGACGCGACCCCTCGCCGCTCGGCAGCAGGAGCAGGAGCAGACACGGACAGGCAGCTCCCCGCCGCCGCGCACACGCGCCCGGGCGCAGGCTTCAAGGTGAGCAGCGCGGAGGGCAAAGGCGGCGGAGGCGGAGGCGCCGCCGCTGCAGCTGCAGCTGAAACTTTGCCTCCCTCGCTCGCGGGGCTCTTGGGGAGTTGCACGTTTCGCCTCCACCTCCGGGCCGCGCCGAGAGAGCCCGATCCCCGCTCCTCCCCCCTCCGGTCAAGTCCCTCTGGGAACTTCGCGACGCCAAATCCGCCTTTATTTTCCTTCCGCGCAGGCAGCCACGTGAGTCAGACTCTGCGGTGATTAACGCCTCGAGTCGTCCCCCCCCCGCACGCCCCCGACACCTGGGCTCCTCCCACTTCACTTCTTTTTCTTACCCCTGATTTCTCCCTCCTTCCCCCCGCCCTTCTAGGAGAGACGAAGTGGACGGGTGAAGTGCGAAAAGCAAGGTAAGAAAGCAGCGCGCAGGGCTTTCTGCTGGGACGCTTCTCGCGCGGCATTGCTCTGGACCCGGGCTGCTTTTGGGGGGGAGCTGGAGTTGCGCGCGGCGTTGCTGCTGCTGCTGCAGGACGGATTGGGAAGCGCTAATGGCCCGTGCCCGCACGGTGGACAAATGCATGAGGCTGCTGCTGGGGCTTCCGAAAGTCAGCTTTTTGCGGGGGGTTGTAATGCCGCTTTGCTGCCGACAGGGGGAGCGCCCGCGCTCCCGAGAGTCGCTGTCAGAACGGGGGCGGACGGGAGGAGGCTTTGAATGAACACGCATGGAAATGACGTCGAGGCCCCGGTAGAGGGCCCTCTTGCAGCCACAATAAAAGGCCCGTGACAAGGGTGGGTCGGAAAAGGGAATATTATCCGAGGCTGCTGCTCGTGGCAGGGGTCGTTTAGTGCAAGGGGCAGCGGGGTACATCACCAGAGGGTTGGGTTTAGGCAATGCAACGTTGCTGACCTCTTTTCTCAAAGGTTGCTCAGAGGCCTTAGGGCACGCTGCATATTTCAGAATGTTTTCCAACGTTGCCAGAGTCATTGGTTATGTGACATGCTGTGTAATAGCAAGATCTACAATTGGAAGGCTGTAGCTCAGAGGGAGGACAGCTGCTTTGCATGCAGAAGGCGCCAGGTAAAATCTCTGCATAGGTCTATGACAGCCCCCTTCCTGAAGCCCTGTCCCCAGTTAGCATAGGCAACATTGAGCTGGAAGGGTCAATGGCCTGACTCGCTATAAGGCAGCGTTGTGTGGTCATATGAATAAGAGCAAAAGCAGAAAAGCTGTTTCTTAATCAGATGGGCCTGTTGTGAAACCCAAGACTCTGATTCTGTGCAGGCTTAACTGGGAGCAAATCATTCCATACTCAGTGGGATTTATTTCTGAGTAAACATACGTAGGCTTGAGCTGCATGGATACAATTATGCTTAAAGCAAAAGCATAATGAAACCCTGGCCTTAACCTACAATTAGCTGACCAGGTTACGAAAGTTGGGAGGATAAGCTGAACATGTTGTTCAAGGCACCTGAGTTGTGGGCCTGTTTGTGTAAACAATGAGAACAATAGGCTGAACCAGGGATTTGAATCGTGCAGACCCCAAACCGCTTAGCACAAATTACTAAGGTCCTCTCTCTCTCCAAGTTCCCTTCCTGAACTTGGTAAAAACCAGGCTGATTTCCTCCCCCCCCCCACACCTCGTTTTCATTGCCTTTTTATAGAGGTGGGTGGAGGATTTTAATTACCGAACTGTCTGAATGTGGAGCAAGGGCCCAGTGGTAATTATTCCAGACGGATGAATCCACTGAGCTTTCTATCTGCTCAAATACACATTCCATGCTGTGTAGTGCAGGACATGCCATAACTTCCACCTCCAGAAGAGGCCCAGATCACCTCCTCCTGGGTCTGACACGCACAGTAGGCTTCTCCCAGGGCTGATAATTGCTTGCCGTTGTCTCTCCGCAGGTGACTCCGCTTTCGGTCTGGTTCTCATCTGGGGGGGCCCTGGCAGTGCAGCCCCCCCAAACTTCACTTTTCTGAAACACGGCTCTAGCCAACCTGCTTCGCTGTTTCACTTGCGACCGCCTGTGCGGGGGCTGCACAGCGCCGGCTCCCCCCCCTCGACAGGGCATTGCTCTCCAGCCTGTCATGCCCAGCTGTGAGCCAGCGCCACCTGCCGCCTGCCTCCCTACCAAGACCTTCCGCAGTTACCTGCCCCGGTGCCATCGAACGTACAGCTGTGTTCACTGCCGGGCACATCTGGCCAAGCACGATGAGCTCATCTCCAAGGTACGTGCATCTCTGGGACATGGGAGCAAGTTTAGCTACACCGCTGTTATTTATCTGTGGTCTTCCTGGATCTCTGGCATTGTGTTACCCCCCCCCCAAAGCAGTGCCACCCCAGGGCCCGACTAGGACACTTTCTAAAAGATGGCACCCTACTGGTGGGATACCTTGCTAGCAATACCTATCGGTCTGTCCAGGAACAGACCTGATCTTTCTCGTATCTGGGGTTTTTTGCCTTGAAGCAAAGCAGTTGGGTTTGTGGGGGGAGTGGGTCAAAGAGCCTTTCAAGGGAGAGGGTCGTAACTCCTATACTTTATTTCCACAGTCTTTCCAGGGAAGTCATGGTCGCGCCTATCTTTTCAATTCTGTGTGAGTCTCCTACTGCAATTGGTTTTATTTGGTGTGGGTGGGGATGCGGGGGAGATTGGAAGAAGCGAGGCAGAGGGAGAGAGGTGGTTTCGTTTCACACCGGAAGAATGTAGAGCACTGCTACATCTCATCCGTTCCATTAGAAGGAGGGAAATATAGAGTGATGCTGCCAGGGTGGGGTGGGTTAGGGTTACATTTGAGTACTTCCAGGGGGAGGTCTTATATATGATGGCATTGATCCATCATATCTCACTCAGCATTCCATACTATGTAGGCATACTGAGCTCTGGAACTCAAGAGGAAGAAAGCAACATTACCTCTGAATATGTGCCCCTCAGCACCCACTACCTGGGGCTTGGGGTAAGGGCATCAGCCAGCAAGGATGACTTCTAGCTAGCGTTACACCTGAGCCATTCTCTTTTTAGAAATGAAGCACATCTAATAGAAATTAAATAGTGCGTAATTTCTGTCTTATTGTAGTCTTTGTTCCCAAAGTCTCATGGTCAGTCCTTAATTCAGCGCTGGATTCCTCCCTACATCATCCTGCTGAACTTAATGGTAGCACCACCAGACCTTGCACTGGAACTCCTCGCATCTTGCTTTGTGTTCTTGCGGCTCTCTCTCTCTCTTGGGTGCTGGCTCAACCATCCACAGGATGTTGCACTCCTGACCTTCGGGCATGATTTACCCTTGATTCTGAATTGCTGGCAATGAGAACTCTCTTCCCTCTGATCTAACAATCAATCAGAATCTCTACAAAGTGTTTCTTATTTATGTTGTTTCCTTCAAGATGAACCCTTCGTTCCTCTGCTCTTTTGACGACTCTTGCTGAATGCATCTGCAAAGGCCAATGTATGAGTAATCTCCTGCCTCACTACATAGAGATGTGCCAGAGGATTGCTGGTCATCCTTCAGACTTCTCTAATATATGCAAAATATAGCTCATAGTGCAGAAGGCTCTCTCTAGGTGCCTCCCTGTGTGCCATGGTTTTGACAGTGAAGAAAAGCACATAGTTTTCCCTTCTCTTCATTTCTAATTGGCCTTTGGCAGGGAGAAGGCCTAGTTCCAAGGCAGACCGACTGAGTCATACAGATCTAGCATTCCTCTGTCATACTTGTTGAACCTAGCCAAGCAAACTGTTGTTTTGGAGTGGCGAATTCTTTCTGCCTGAGAAGTAGATGCTCTTTTCTCAGTGGTAGGAACCTGTGGGATTTGCAAAAGCAAGGACCTGCTGGGCCAGTTCTGCGGGGAATGACAAATAGGATGTCTTTTACAGTTTGTGGAAAGTTCCTATTGATAGTTTCATATTGGTGAATTGACCATCGTATGACAGCTGGCGCATTTCATAAGCGAGTGATGATTTGATGGCTCTTTTTTCCGGTAGCATTCTGGTTTTGCCCTTACTTGGGCAAACGTGAATGGAACAGTTCATCTAAACAAATATTATAGAATAGCTTTTATTCCAGCTGTGAAACTGGGTTTATCGCCCTTTTGGATGTCAGCCCAAAATAGAGACAAGGAACGCAGTTATGGTGCCTTACACCTCACTAGAGAGTTAGTCTGAAGTAATTGATGGGAGACCAAATCTTAGTGTAAGGGGAAGATCTGAATTTCTTTCCCTCTGCCCCACAGCCCCCTAATTCCACATCTTAGAAGAATTTAACTTTTCTTTCAATGTAGATCGGTTTGAAATCATGAGGGGAAAGCTCTAGTCTTTTGATGGTCCATGGCTGCAGTAACTCAAGTCTGGCTGCCTCCTGCTTCCACCAGGTTGATCTGCTTTATCGTGCCAAGAGGGCATTGGCTAGGATAAGAACATGACCTAAAGACATAAGAAGAGCCCTGCTGGATCAGGCCAGTGGCCCATCGAGTCCAGCATCCTGTTCTCACAGCGGCCAACCAAATGCCTTTGGGAAGCCTGCAAACAGGACATGAGGATTCTCTATATAGTAAGAGATTCTTACGGCGAGCCGAAGAACCTTATATTTAGGAGATGATATTTGTACTTTCCAGGGCAAATGAAAGTGACACTTCCTGAGTTCTTCTAGGTTCCTTGTTGTTTCTAGGCCCAGGGGAGCATGTTGTTTTGTTTCATTCCCCCTGCTGCTGGATTGGAGAGCATTTTTAAGCTTCCCTGAAGTTTAAACCTTTGGCACTTCCTATGGCTCTCAAGTTGTCATAGGCCAAACACCCCATGTTTCAGCTGACAGAACAGCAAGCTCCTAAGACAATTGTTCAGCTGGCTGCGGTAGCCTCTGTGTTACAGCTAAGCATGTACCATCAAGCCTTGGACGAGGCAGAGATATCGTGCCTTGAGTAAAGATCAAACACATCTGTCAGAGCTTTCTCTTCCCAGGGACCAGTGTGGAATTGGAATGGTTCCTCCACTACAATGTGAATGTGTCCCAGTCACACTGGGTATTTCTCCTCATGGCCACAGGAGGCCGCTGTGCGATTGAACTCAGAACTCTTCTCTTGTTTTCAGTGCCCCATCTTGGTTCCTAGATGACAAATAGGCTGGCTTTTCTTTTCTTTTTTGAGACAAATGGTAAAGGCACGAGGAAGTGATTTATTTGTTTTATTTAAAAAGCTTATATCCTGCTCTTTCCCACCAGGTGGATTAAAAAGTGGCTCACAATGTAAACTTATTAAAACCACATCAAATGTGATTATATTTTAAACTGCCATATAAAAACAGCATATTTAGACCACTAGTATAAAAGAACCACATGTATGGGAACAGCATTAAACACATTATCAAGCTGAAAACACTCAGCCAAAATCCTTCTTAAACGGCTTAGGTTTCAGTCAAACGCCTGAGCGAATATAATGTTGGGGTATGACTGTTCTTAAATCTATTTATTTTTAAAGCTTAGGAGATGTGACACTTCTGCATCCTAAGAAAATAGGTGCTTAATAGGTTTTTATCTGGAAACAGGAACTGCTGAGATGTGGTTTCTCATAACCAATTGTGTAAGTCATGTTTCAGTTGCTGAGATCTTTCCATGAACCAATCACATGCAAAAAGTTGTGGTGGGGCTTGAAATCCTTTCTTCTTTTTCTTCTCCTCCTCCTATTTTCTTTTGTCTGTCTGTCTGTCTGTGTGTGTGTGTGTGTGTGCGTGTGTGTGAGCAAATCCACAAGTGTTAGGACAAACATAGTTCCTCACACCCTCTTTGCGTAGCGTTTGTGGTAAACTCCCTGTGAGGTAGAACAGAGCAGGGTGGAACTCTGAGAAGGATAAAAAGAGATAGTGCCTTCCAATTTCTTTGACTGCAGGGTTAATGTGGGCTGTGGTCCAGCCGAACAACGCCTCCTGCTCACCGGCCTCCATTCAGTCGCTGACATTTTCTGCGAAAGCTGCAAGACAACACTGGGCTGGAAATATGTGAGTACTGAATACTGGTAGCTTACAAGTCTAGACAATAAATCCCCTTTCCAAACAGGATTCTTGCAAGCAACCTTGTTGGAAAGAGTCAAAATGAGGCATCCATAGAAAACCTGTCTCTGACTCTGCCCAATTGGGGAGAAGGGCCAGGCTGACCCCCTGCCCTACATGTGGGCAACAAGGTCCTTGTCAAAGCCATTTTAATTTTTTAATTTTTTAATTTAAATTTAATTTATATACCACCTTTATCTTCCAAGGATCTTAAGGTGGTGTACTTGGTTCTCCTCTCCATGCCATCCTCACAACAACCCTGTGAGGTAGATTAGGCTAAGCGATGGTGACATGGCTTAGTGGGGATTTGAACCCTGCTCTCCCAGGTCCTGTCAAACCATTACAGCACACTGGCTCTGAGAAACCATGGCACTTAGAAATGTCAGCCTCTAGCTGTCAGGCCACACCAGTAGACACTCTCGATTCCTACTTCCCCTGTTGTAATTGTGGGTGGTTTTTTGTTCACACAACCCTTTTGAGGACAACTTTTGTGTTTTGGGTGCCTGCAGATTCTATGGAGTTTGTGTGTGTGTGTGTGTGTGTGTGTGTGTGTTTAGGCAGATGTCTGAAGCAAATGGGGTTAATTCTCCCAATCTCCTCATTTGCCAGGAACAAGCCTTCGAGACCAGCCAGAAGTACAAAGAAGGGAAGTACATTATTGAGATGTCACATATGGTGAAGGACAACGGCTGGGACTGAGGGGGACTCTGGGCGCACACCCTCCTGCGTAGCATGCCTTGCCCTTTCCCAACCCCACCCCCACAGCTGGCATCCCGGCACAACCAACCTGCCCCATCCCCCACCCCCACCCCTCCTGCATAGCATTACCCGTGGGAGTGGAGATACCAGGACCCTTCTCCCAAACCTCTTGTACTTTCTAAGAATGCTGGATTCGCAGAGTGGAGGACCCCACCCCTGCCCTTACAGCAGAAGGGGAGGCTCAGAGGGTTGAGGGGACAGTGCTGGGGGGGTTGGATTGGATTCCACGTGATCTATATGCTGCCCTCCCCCACCCGCTGACAGCGCCTTTCGGGCGGAGCAAGCGGTGGCATCCGGAACCGCACGCAGGTTTTGCACTTTTGCAGTCCGTTGCGTAGGACAGAAGCAGTCCTTCCTGGAACAGGACAGAAAGGGCTGTGGGCACAGGGCGAGCTCTTGAGGAGATGCCATGGCTTAGCGGCAAGTGTTGCATGAAGGAGGTTCTAGGTTCAATCTCTGGCATCTCCAGTTTTTTTTTTTTTAAAAAGAACCTCACGGAACGGCTAGAAGAGGCCCTGGATAACTGCTGCCAATCAACATTGACCAGGTTGAGCTAGAAGGGCCAAGAGGGTCTGAGTCAGGAAAAGGCAGCTTTTTATGCTCTTCTCCTTTCTTGGGAGAAACAAAAATTGCGTTTGACAGCCTACCAGTGTTGGGCAGAGGAAACCCCTCTCAAACAGGAAACAAAGGGATCCTAGAGGTAGGGGGCGGGCGGGGGGGGGGGAGCAGCCCCTCTCCACATGGAGCCATGGTAGTTCACAACCCCTTTCACCCCTCCCGTTCCCTGACACTGCCGTGGTGTTTCCCCCCATGTCTACTCTATGGAGTCTCTTTCTTTTGTTTTGGGTCGCCGTGTGCTTGTGATCCTTGGGCACCATGGCTCCCCCACATCCCCCCACCCCACATGAAGACAGGATGGGGGGCAGGTGGGGGTAAAGCCTCAGCACTGTCACCAGCGCAGGAATTTTTTTTGTATAATAAAGGTGTTTTATATTTAAAAAACAAACAAAATCAAAAAGAGCCATGCTACTAATGGCTTCTCTTTTCCTGCTTCCTTGCGCAGCTGCAGCCCAAAGCTAGCAGTTATGTTCACAAGGATTAAGCTTGCTGGCCAAACGTCCCAAGAGCGGCTGATTGCTTGAACTTGGAAAGCCCGCTATACTTCTTTTTCTTTTAAAATAACCAAACATCAGCACCATTGGGATGAGCATCTGGAAACCCACATATACAAAAAAATACAAGCCACAAAGTTTCTCCCCATTCGAAAACTTAACAGAACTGTATGTGCAAAATTACCATATTCTAGGAAGTCGCTGCCCATGTCTTCCTTTCCACATCTAGAATGAGTCAGAGCTTTCTTTCCCACAAATTTTAACATTTACCAGCAATTCAGCAACTTTGAGAACACAGGAGACACCCAGTTAAAGAAGCGGTAACATTTATTAGGCAATAGGCTGCTGTAACGGCTCGGAAAGAGAACAGTCAAAGGTGATTTGCAAGAAAGCAACAACCCTTCAGCTTCCACTCGGATGCCAAACCATGTTGGCTGTGAACAGCCCCATATATATTTGGGGTGGATGGGAGCACTTCAGCTGTCACAGGAGCTATGTTTTGCCGCTGCTGGGCACTATCAGTTTTCTCAGTTACACCTTCCTTTTGCCTCACAGAGCCCTGAATATTGCCAGCAATGGACGTATAGAGGCTTCATGCTGCTGTGGCCACCCACCCAATGCCCTTTTTACATTGCACTGCTTGTGTTGGGCTCAGACAGTAGCACAATGTGAAAAGAGCCTTGGACAGGGGCCATGCCCAGTGCCTCAGGAGGCTCTTCGCACACTCTTTCCCTCTCTCCAAATTCCTATGCGGAAACAAGAGAACCACCTTCTCACCTCGCCCAAGACAAGGGGGATTCATTTTAACTCTTTATCAGTTTGCTTTCTTTGGGGTGCCCTCTGGGCTGCTGTAGTGCCCAAATAATTTCAACCGTCCTCTCTGGTCTTCATTCAGCAGGAACATCCAGTTTGGTGTTTCTAGAAGGTGTTTCAGAAGGTCCACCTAGAGAGGGAGGGGAATAAAAGTAGATGGAATGATTTCTTTCTACAGCTGAACTGCTCTCTGTCACTGCACCCACCAGCTCCACATCTGCAGTGAGAAGGCTATTCACTAAGTGTGAACTGGAATGGCAGAAGATTAATGAAATGTCTGTTCTTGTTAGGACGGCTAAAAAACTCCCTTCTTGCCAGATCAGAAAAGTCTTTATTTTAGTGCAAGTATACTGTCTCATTGGCGTAGCCACTGAACAAACAACTAGATCCAGAAAGTTGGATTCAACTCTTATCTCTCCCCACAAATGCCTCTGTCTTAGTATTCTTTTAATTCCAACCTGAGATTTGTGGGTTGTTGTTTTAATTCTACAGAGGGATAATACTTTGCATCTAGATGGGAGTATAAGAAATAAGCCGCCTTAAAAATAATAATCATTAGATACTAGGATAGTAGGATTCTTAGGGATACAGGTGGCACTGTGGTCTAAACCACTGAGCCTCTTGGGTTTGCCAATTAGAAGGTTGGCTGTTCGAATTCACTCAACGGTGGTAAGCTCCCTGGTGAGCTCCCGTTGCTCTGTCCCAGCTTCTGCCAACCTAGTCGTTCAAAAGCACACCAGTGCAAGTAGATAAATAGGTACCACTGCAGTGGGAAGGTAAACAGCTTTTCCCATGCACTCTCACACTCACCAGTGTCCTGTTGCGCCAGAAGCAGTTTAGTCATGCTGGCCACATGACTGTGGACAAACTCCGGCTCCCTCGGCCTGAAAGCGAGACGAGTGCCGCACCCCAAAGTCGCCTTTGACTGGATTTAGCCGTCCAGGGGTCCTTTACCTTTTAAAACCTTTTAATCACGTGTTCACATTTCTGGGTATGGATTCAAACCTGTACCACTCGTCTCTTACTTTTGGCCCTACATACAATCTCATATACAAATACTGAAGATCTGGGATTCTCCATTTCCACCATGCCTTTGGAAGATTGAGACAAATGGAGAAAAAGTAGCTTTACACTCCAAATCATCTAGTAGGCAGCAGAGTCAGGGATAAGCAATGTTAGGTTTCCTGATTCCATGTCTGTTACTGTAGCTATCAACTAATCCTCACTACTATTCAGTACACAGAAGTAATTTTTCCAGTAACAACAAGTATGTGTCTCTGCGCCAACCAAATGCACACATTCCATTCTAGTAGTCTGGTGTATATGTCAAGAGTGTGATTTACATGTGAACTACTATATGGGCCGCAATATATGCTGAATGGTTGATACAGGTTATCACCATGCAGAATTTTGTGTGTGTATGTCCAACGAGCAGCATATAAAGGCCTTACCATAGCTCTGCAAATATATGCAACAAAGTCCTCTGACAGTCTGTCCTGCAACTGTTGCCAGATGCAGACAACTGCTGCATGACTGGTTTGGCTGTGGTCTGTAAGCCTTGAGGGCTGAAGCATTCACTTGACCTGATCTCTTGATCCTATGGAATTCACTATGGATGCTATAAATATCACCATGGGCCTCCAGCAGGAACTTTGGGTGGAATTGTTTTCATGTAACAACCAGAAGCTCTGTTGTGGCAAACAGGGTTGAAAGTACAGGGTAAAATACATGCTCTACCCAGAGGAACTCAAAGCAAATAGATAATAAGGGGCAGAATGGCAAACAGGTGCAGGTGTGGAAGGTTTATTTTCCAAAGCTATGAGTGCTGTCACTCAAGGCTGGGAGTCTCACCCCACTGCCTTAACCACATCCCATGCTAATCACACCACAAGACCTTGGAATTTGATTCATGTGAACACTAGGTTAAAAAAAAAGTTGTAACCCAAGGCAAAACTCTGTGCCCCAGAACCAAAACCTTGCTATCCAATATGGATATGCCTATGGAGACCTCTGAAAGAGAACCAGCAAACAGCTCACCAGTAAAAATTAATTCAGATGTATTTATAACAAAGTGCCTGAGTGGCTTGGCTGGGAATTGTGCCATAAATGAATTGGAGAGGCCGACTGATAGTTTTGTGACGTGGGCTGGTGGGAAAGGGTGCCCTCATCTTTCACCAACAGGTCATTCACCTACCAGTAGTGCTGAACCTTGCAACTAGAGATGAAGCAATTGGAATTTTTGGGAAATGACAACATGCTTCTGGAGCAAAGGGAGCAGAGAAGAGGCTTTCAAGTGAAAGAACTAGATAAGTGAGCTGCACCACAGATATAATCTCTCCTCTCTCATAAGTCTCCCACTCCCTACCCATAGAGGCTTTTATATTCTGCACCAGGGGTAGGGGAGTTATGCCCTCTGGAAGTTGCTGGACTACAACTTCCATCAATGCCAGCCAGCATGGCCAATGGTCAGGGATGATGGAAGTTGTAGTCCAGCAACTCCGGAGGGCATTGTGTTGGCTACACCTCTTCTTCTACACACAGGGATCTTTGCTGGATCCCGACTTTTTGTTGCAGTTAGTCTGCATGGTTTTCTTGGCTGCACAAATTCAGTGGTAGATAGCTGCAGTGATCTAACACAGAGAGTGTAGGCAAACCTCTCCTACAATGCAGTTCAGTTCAGGCTGTGTTATATTGGTTGAGGCCATTAAATATATATCTAATCACTGCACCTCTTTAAGAGGGGAACCATATGCTTGACAGAGAGTGGTTGTATGTTTAATCATTGCTAACTTCTAAAAATAATAGAGACAAGAGCAACCCAAGGCATTAACAATCTGCAAAACCTTGGAAGACAAAAATACCAAACTTGGCTTCATATAAAAGTCAAAAAAAGTGTAAAAGCAAACATAAATGTAATTAACAAAATCAAGATGATCCAGAGAGATGAAATGGAAGTATGCATGACTTTGACAGAGACAATTTCTTAACTGAACTCAAGCATGTTTTCTAATAAATTAAGGTAAGTAGTTTACTGGGTGGACGCCTCCAAGGATTCATAAGCGTGCAAGTTTTGTTGGAACTACAAGAAAATATTGCTGCAATGTGACCGAGCTCAGGAGCAAGGAAGCTGCTTGTGAACGCAATACTACGTAAGACAAGGATGAAAGCATTTGAAACTGCCCATTTAGCCAAGAACTTTGCCCTTTTCACAAACAAACAAAACCAGCCTCTAGTATACAATATATAGAGGACAAATAGTTAAAGACCACTGAAACACGTCCCCAGAACTCTGATCAGCTTTCCCCCAAAGTTATATTGCTCTAAACAGAAAAGGTAACAAAGGGACCTCCTAGAGTTGTTCCCTGAGATTACATATATGGGTTGTACCATAAGGACATCACATCACTTTTGAATAAGACAGTTTAAATTGTAGTTACTTCATGTGACCCTGGAAGAAATATTTCGTCACGGTTTTTGTTTGTTTAAAAAAACAAGACCAGTTCAAGTTTATTACACCCAGCAACAGAATGGATTGAGTGACACATGTAACTAGAATATATTTTAAAATGTTTTTAGAAGAGCACTGGAATCTAAACTTCTGACTAGGTGTAAAGACACAAAAACCAGTGACGCTCACATGTCCAAACTTGAGTGTTAGGAGCCAGTATACAGAGTGGAGGCAGTTTGTCAATTCACACTGATGCTTGAAAGCAGGTAATTGTGCACGTCTGTGAAAGAAAGTTGGTGGGCTCCATCAATTTATGCACATTTAAGGCCTTAGTATTTGGTGGCAGAGCAATCTATTGTCTCTTCCAGTCTGTGCAGGATGCTCTGATTTTTCTCACACACTCAGGTGGTCCGATCTGAGTTTATGGAACGGTCACTCCAATACAACTGCCCCACACCAGGAAGCAAGGTTGTAATCCCAACCCTTGTTACCTGGGCGTATGTCCCATTGAATTCAGTAGGACATGCTTCTGAATAGACATGGTTAGGCTTGCACTGTAAGAGATCACCAGATCAGGGAGAAGTGTCCTTGATTAATAATATCTTGGTTTCATGCTACTATAGCTCTTTTGTCATGTTTCAGGTTAAAGATGGTTATAGTGGATATATTTCCACCTAATTAAGCTTTGTTGAACTGAATTGGTGGCAATTAGTTGTAAGGCACTATGAGGAACCTGAGAGCACAATCCTGTACTTGAGTTAACATTGGCTGAAGGGCTTTACAGTTTTGCAGAAATCCCATTATACAGACAGAATGCTGCTGCCCTGGCAGATCCTTGGGTGGGACTTGCCCAGTACAACGGCAAAGCCACATTAACAAAGCTGGAGAAGATATGCCAGTGGAACAGCCAAAATACAGCTTTGCATCCATAAGGTCCTAGATTCAATTCCCAGCATCTCCAAGTAGGACTAGGACAGACTGCCTGAAACCCTGGAGAGATGCTGCAGGTCAGTGTAGGCAATACTGAGCCAGATGGACCGAGGGTCTGACTTAGCATATGGCAGCTTCCTCTGTTCCTATGAGTCATGGGTGAGACATCAACAGCACAGAGGAGGAGCAAACATGCCGGACCCTATACCCCTTCACTCCACAGCTATGCCCCTGTTGACAGCGAAATTTTGCATCAGCCCTGGACAGGGCACATGAGATTTCCTTCCTACTGTCTTCAAGGGGGTGGGACATATGAAAAAATAGCTGGCCCTGCACGGACAGCTGGCCCACCCGCATCTCCATGAGAGAGTACAGGATACCGTGTAACTCGGCACCCAGTCACAGCACACTCCAACCAGTAAAGCCTTAACAGATGGCAGAACAGCACACCCAAAGAACTCGCAAGAGAGAATCTTTAGTGAGAGGAAATTATGGAGAAAGAGCACTTTGAACAAAGGAGTTCACTTTCACAACACACATGGGAATGTGAGCACATTGCTAGAGCTTCTCTGCCTTGAACCCTAACAGGCAGTGTTAGAAACCAAGATGTGAAAGCTAGGAGCTAAAGGGCACCTTAATCTTAGGTTATGGGTGCAACAACGGAATGTCTAGGCACCTTTTAATAAGAAGAATACAAGCTGAAAATGAATGAACTGCAGCTAAAATCTTATGTTCATTTTTCACATGGTCTAGTCCTTCCCCTGCCCATCCCACTAATATTCTTAAGAGGATCTCTTCTCCAGTCTTCAGAGAGTAGCTGGAAGTGGGGAGGCAGAAAAAGGTCCTCCTTTCCTTCCACTTTGCAGTTTTAATCTGAAATCTTAGGCAGAGTACTTCGTCCAGAGCTCAGAAACTGCTCATACAAATGAAATTCCCTGTCGCAAAATGCACCTAGATCATAGGTAGGCAAACTAAGGCCTGGGGGCTGGATGTGGCCCAATTGCCTTCTAAATCCAGCCCACAGATGCTCCAGGAATCAGTGTGTTTTTACATGACTAGAATTTGCGCTTTTATTTAAAATGCATCTCTGGGTTATTTGTGGGGCATAGGGATTCGTTCATTATTATTTTTTTCAAAATATAGTCTGGCCCCCCACAAGGTCTGAGGGACAGTGGACCAGCCCCTGCTGAAAAAGTTTACTGACCCCTGGCCTAGAACAATGGGAGTTTCAAACACTGCTAAGAGGTACCTCGCCTTGAAGCTCCCACCCTACTCCAATTCCAACTACTTAGAAATGTAGTATCTTAGTACTCTATATATGCTATCAGAACATGAAATCTAATGGAGAACAAAGATTTCCAAACAGGCTATGTAAAAAAATTGCTGCCTTCACCAGGCAGCAAAAAAGTCAGATTGCTGGCATAAAGATGCTTACAGTATTATGTTATTGTTTCTAGATAAGGTTACTACCTACTGAAATAAAAATGCTAGTCCCTGGGCAGCCCCAGTGTTTTCCAGGACTCAGAAGTTACCAGGGAGTATCTATTCACCCAAGATGCACAGCTCCAGAAACAAGCAAACTGATGGGGGGGGACCCTGAAGTTTCCTGGTTTTTCTGACAATTATTTGAAGCAAAATAAAAATTGGCCAAGTCAGTTCCTCTTCTCTCCCCTACCCCATTGGGCTGGCAACCAAATTTGTATACAGTCTAGTCTTGCTAGCAATACTTATTTAGCAAATTTCTTACTCTCTCAACTTTAATTCTCACTTTATGCAAAAACATGATCCTCAGGGTCCCTTCCAACTCTGATTCTATCCCTTCCTCTGTTTAAATTGCAAACCCCTTCGGGAAGCTGCTGCTTTATTATGTATGAACTAACTCTGCATTAATGATGGCTGTGTACCACCTAGTTCCGGTTTCCTCAACCTTGGCCCTCCAGATGTTTTGAGACTACAATTCCCATCATCCCTGACCACTGGTCTTGCTAGCTAGGGATCATGGGAGTTGTAGACCGGTTTAACATTGGCAGCATACCATAAACATATACCTTGGTCAAACTGCACCCAAAGCAAGGATGAATTGCTTAGGTCAGGGATAACTCACACAAATATTTCTTAGGTCTTTTTCTCAATCTGTACAACATATATATATTGTCTGCACTGATTGAGCTAGTCCACTGCCAACATACCAGCCATTTGAAATTGCCTTTATCCACGCTGTGAGTAGATGCTTCTGCCACAGATGTGCATAAAACCCAGCAGCCTCTGCTAAAGCTGAAAAATAAACCCCAGCAAATAACCTTGCATGTTTCCCCTTAAAAGGGAAACTTTATTCCCCAGGAGGCAACAGCGCTGTCCTAATGAACACCACTTTCCCCCGGAAAATGCAAACAGGAACATAGGGAGCTGATTTATATCGGATCAGTCTATGGGTCCATCTAGCTCAATATTGTCTACCCTGACTGGCAGTGGCTTTCCAGGGTTGCAGACAGGGATATTCCCAGCCATGCCTGGAAATGCTGGGGGTTGAATCTGGGACCTTCTGCACGCAAAGCAGATCCTCTACTACAGAGCTATGCCCATTACATGTGCTTGGTTTTTGCATAGGCTTGGATCTCCAGCGGGCAAAAATGTAGACAACGCAGGCTAAAGAGTCACTGGGCTGGAGAAGTCCTCTAGATATTGGGTGCTTGAGGTCTTTAAAATCCCTCTTTTACAGACATCCTAGGCAGCCTTCCTCCTCAGACTTGCTGGTTGCTGAGCTACAAAAGTGTGGCCAATGAGGACATGCAAGATCCTCTCAACTCAAACCCCAATGTGCATATGTCCTAGTTTGGGGGGGGGCGGGAATCCAAATATGAACTGAGGAGAACACAGAACTTTTTGTACACGTGATACAGGGTCCCCGCCCCCCAAAAAGTACACTCAAAGCACCTTTTGCATTTCCTGTAAAACATCCATAACCATGGTGGCTGGAATTGTGGTGTCTTCATAAAACCCTTCCAGCTTTTTCTACCCTGCATTCACATTCACAAAGGAGCGCAAGCCCTGAGAGGAAAAAGGGGGTCCGAGGTACCTTCGTGTCACATTTGGGGGGGACGGACGGGCCAGGGAGAAGGGGTGCCTGCAGCCCGGGACTACTCTTGGAGACCTAAAAAGCCCCCCGGGGGGGGCTTGCTCTTCCGGACTCTCTGATTCCCATGGGACCCCTCTTTCCTGGGCCCAGGACACGGGAGAGAGTGGTCCCCCGAGGGATTTTGGGGGACTCTCGCCTTCTGCTTTTTTCACCAGCCGGAGAAAGCCTGTCCTCCGCCCTGCCCTCCTTCACGCCACTCCCGGAGAAGCCTCGCCAAAGGGCGCTTGAGTGGAACTGGCGGGGGGCTGGAAGGACGGGGGCGGGGAAGGCAGGTTAAAGACTCGGAAGGTCGCCGCCCTCCGTTCCCCGGGGGTCTCTAGCAGCACTCCGGGCGGGGCCCCGTCCAGCCTTCGCCCCTCTCCACAGAGCCGCCACACGAAAACACCCCCGAGCCCCCGCGCTTCAGACTCGGAGCTTGTGCGAGGGGCGCCGGAGGAGGGGAGGGGGCCCCCCTCGCGAGCCATTGGACGCCTTTACCCTTTCAGCAGCTCTCGGGCTTCTCCTCGTCTCTCGCCTCCCCCAGTGGCAGAGGTGGAAACTTGCGGGGAGTTTCCTCCCCCTTTCCCCCGGGCATGGAAGTGGAAGGCGCTCAAAGCAGCAGCTCCCGCTTCTCCTCTCCGCATTCCCTTCCGTCCATCTTGAATACTTGAGATTCTTGAATGGAGCGTGTGGGGGATCCGCGCCGTGCGGCTCCCATTGGCTGCCCGTTAACCCTTTGGAGAGGGGCTTCGCCTTCTCATTGGACGCGGTCCCGTCCCCCCCGCCCCCCCGCCCACGCGCCGCCCCCCCCCACCCCTCGCGCGCGCGCCCCCAGCAAATAGGGATTCTGGTACAACCTTTCGATCTGTTGTTGCAGCTAGTTTGTTTCGGTGGTCGGTGCGTCAAAGTTCGTTCAGAAGCAGAGGCGCCCGAGGGGATCGTTGTTAGAACAGCAAAAAAAAAACCAACAACAACAACTACTACTACAACTACAACTGCAACAAAGATAACAACTACAACAACAGTACCCTGCCCATTTGACTGGCTTGCCCATTTGACTATACTGTATAACTAAGTTGTATAGTTATTCATCTCCACTTCAGAGAAGGCCCTCTGCATGGCTCCCTGTAACTTCACTTCTCGCAGTGAGGGAACTGCCAAAAAGCCATCAGAGCTAGATCTCAGTGTCTGGGCTGAAACGATGGGGGTCAGGGGTGCCAACTTGAATGAAAGGGGAGGGGCAGGTAAACCCCTCCCCCCATGATCGATTACAAGAAGCAGTGCACACACACACACCATTTGATGGCAATGCCCTTCAACTTGGGGGGCAGCCCCCACAAATATTTTATTGGGGGGGCGAAGGGACTTTGGCTCCTAGGAGTTGGCTCCAATGACGGGGGTGGAGACACACAGAAGCAGTGAAAAGGGGCGTCTTGCCTAGTTTACATGAGATGAGGAAGCAGGAACCCACTCTTCCCTTGGCTCCTGGTACCAAGAAGGTGGGTGGGTGGGGTGCGGTGAAAGCAGGAGCTACTGTCTGAAAAGGGTCGTGAAAATGTTGGCCCTTGAATGCTTCATTTTGGCTCTGCATCTGCAGCAAAATGCCCCGGGCTGCAACAGCTCTCAGCGCTGGCATGCAGCTTACGTTCACTTTTGGGGGCATTTTTGTGCTGCCGTTCTGCCTTCCCTGGATGGTGACAACCCAGCAGATGGTGCTAGTGCCAACAGACATGTCAGTTTTGTTCTGACAATGGCCCGGTTTCAAAGCTGCATTTACACCTGTGGAGGAAAAATTGCCCCTACATCCTTTCCCCTGAAGCTTTGAGATCACATGGGTGGAAGCAACTTTCAGCAAGGTAGCTGGGATGGTGAGTCCTGTCCTCCAGCAACAACTGGAAGGCTACAGGTGAGTCACCCCTGGTATCCAAGAACACACATCGTCTCTTAAGAGAACCAGGGAACTCCCCACAATGCATAGTTTTGCCCTTAGGCACTTTTATCAAATCCTTCACCCCAAGTGACCACAAATTAAAGGAATGCAGAGGAAACAAGTTGCAGACAGAACACGGGTGAGAAAGTCCTCACAGCCTGTGTTGACATCTTGTGTATCTCCATTAGTAGGGCATTTCCTAAGAAAGGCAATACTCTCGACATAACAATTGGGACATTTTGTATTCACTTACACCCTGCACATCTGTGAGACAAAGACTGTTCAGGTTTTCTGAATAAGTACCTATTTTCTACATTTATTTGCATATATTCCCAAAGCATCTTCATTATTTTTTTCATTGAAGTATGTCGGTTTGTACATCCATTGTTTTTATTTATGGATACGGTAAAGGTAAAGGACCCCTGGACGGTTAAGTCCAGTCAAAGGCGACTATGGGGTTGCGGCCACCCGCTTCTTTTATAACAGGAAGTTACACCAGCCAGTCATGGGCACTGTTAAAGAATGGTTTGGGTGGCAAATCTAAAAAAATGTAGTATGAACACTGGCAACTGGGAAACATTGGCCTGCAAGCACTCCAGTTCGAGAACAGCCTTGACCAAAGGTGTCAAAGGTTTTGAAGACACTTCAAAGGTTTTGAAGATGCTCGAACTCAGGACAAAAGGGAGAAACACGCTAAGAGGAAGGCATGCTGGGGAAACCCTCACCATGATCAACTCCCGCCCGGAAACCTATGTCCCCACTGTAGTTAGACATGTGGATCCAGAATTGGCCTCTACAGTCACTTACAGACTCACTTTTAAAACTATGTTTATGGAAGACAATCTTACTTGGCTACGAGTGATTGCCAACGCCCCCAGGTCTTTTGTGCTGACTCCCAATGACTCCTGTCAAGATGATCAAGGGTCTGGAAACCAAGCCTTATGAGGTACAGTTGAGAGAATTTGGTATGTGTAGCCTGGAAAAGAGGACACTGAGAGGAGATATGACAGTCACTGTCAGATATCTAAAGGGCTGTTACAGTACATGAGTGATGGAGCAAGTTTGTTTTCTCCTGCTCAGGAGGGTAGGACCTGTAGCAACGGCTTCAAGTTACAAGCAAGGAGATTCCAACTAAATATCAGGAAGAACTTTCTGGTGGTAAGCACTGTTCATCCCTCAGGAGGTGGTGGACTCTCCTTCCTTGGAGGTTTTTAAGCAGAGGTTGGATGGCTATCTGTCATGGATGTTTCAGTTGAAAGTCCTACATTGCAGAGGGTTAGAATAATAGAATCTTAGAGCTGGAAGGGACCCAAGGGTCTTCTAGTCCAACCCGCAACATTTGACTCAAATGGTCAAAATGATGAAGAATGGGAAGACCAATGATAAAACTTGCAGACTTATATATTCAACATCACAAGGGTATAGAAGAGGCTTCTGGACACCCTCAGAATATCACTATAGTGCTTTGAGGGAAAATAATTTCCTGCTTGCAGATGCTGGGAAAACCAAACATTAGATTTCCCACAAATACCTCCCACAGGCAAATACGTACAAGCAGAATTTCTCACGCACAATCCTGTTTGATTACGGTGAGAGCAGCCCCAAGCAATGCTTTTTACATCATTTCCCGTTAGAGAAGGAAACACAGGAAATCTTCCACTGGGATTCAGGGAAGGCTCCTCACAGAACCATGAAATAGCAGGAGATTATGGGACTTTTAACACAGTTATTTGTACTGGAGGCTATCATCGCACACGGCTTGCATAGGAAAGGTCCTAAGGTAGAAATAAAGAAAAGTGAGCAGGGTGTGTTGCATAAAGAACAGCAATAAAAACTGAATTTTTAAAAAGTTAGAAACTTTTCAAGACAGGTTGAGATACTTGAAATCAGCATCAAGATCAGAGAAGACACTCAATACTTTAAAAGCTACAGATTATTATTATTTGAATTTATATACCGCCCTATACCTGGAGGTCTCAGGGCAGTAAATTCCTCAGATTTGTCTCAAACATGGGGGGGGGGCAGTTTAGACAATGTTGCCAAACATTTTGTGCTTACCAGTCTTGCCTGTTGTTCACAGTTAACTGACACAGAAGTCTGAAGATTGCCATTGACCAGCTCCACCTGTCCCTTCATGGTCTCCCAGTGATAGGCAAGGATTGTGAAGTCTATCCTTTGTAGGTTGTCAGTATAGGAACAATCCTATCCCACTGTTGTACAAATACAAACATACAACAAAGTAGAAAGGTAATTGATGGAAGGAGAGATGGGGAAACTGAGACTTCCCTGTAAGAATTCACTTTCTTTGTTTAGACAGGGGCTGAGATAAAGGGTCGAGTGTTCCAACATTAGGGGTGTTTCCAAACAGGAGCTTTATTTGGAAATGGATCAATGAATATTGCAATGGATAATTGACAACAGGTTTTTGTTTTGCTTTAACTTACTGGAATTCTCCTAGAAATAGTAAATCTTTATTAAATGGGTTGTGGGGATATGGAATACAGGCAGGCAGTTTGGTACCGAAAACATTGTATGGATGCTGCATGCAGGAAGAGCATTGGCCCCACAATAAACACCTGCTAGAAGCCTCCAATGTGTTTTGTGTGGAATTGCCACCACTTCATTCACTCGTTTTTTTATGGGGCATCCACACAGATGAAGCTATCATCCAGTTGTTGTCCTGCTGCATTTCCCCCTGTGATTTTTCTGTCTTTCTCCTATTTTGAGGGAAGGATTTAAGCATATACCTGGAAATTTAGATTTGCGCAATTAAATTGGATTAAACTCAAGTGCAACAAATTCAGATTTCATAAGAAACAGACTTTTGTGGTTTGGAAAGGGGCAAATACACTGGAAAATGTGAAATGAATGACTAACAAGGAATACATACTGTATATATGCCCCACAAGCAAATCGGGATGAATGTTTGTGGTTGTATAATTTCTCTGCAAAGAAAACAGATGCTTAATAAAGACTGGATATAATCTAACATCTGCAAATCATGACAAAAGTTTGAATAAATACGTCATCTGGAGCAGCCCTCAGGCCACAGGAAGTTCAATCTAGTCTCCACAGGTGTAGATGCTCTTAACACTCATTACTTCTCCATCTGTATAAAAGGTGGGCTTTTCATGTGGGCAGCAGCTATTGGACCTATCACAACTCGGCAACCATTTACTGTAACCTTTGGGGTGGGTTCCATTTAATCACCCTATTTTTAAATCAGCCTTTAGCACTAAGCATATATATAAATATGAATATGAAGGTGAATGAGTTTGGGGTATTAGGCTGTATGCTGATACACTTCTAATCCCTGGATCCAGCAAGTGTTTGATGATGCATGCTCTAGTCCTCTTCAGCGCACCTTTGCAAGAGCTTCAGAATGTTGCAATTGTGCACAGGAGACTTTAGCTGTTCACACAAATGTGAACATTTTGAAATAACTTGGAGACTTTGGAAGAAATGCCCAAAGGATGTCTTATCCTGGAAGAAATGTGGTGCCATCAATTACTCTCAGTAATTGGATGCTAGTCAGTCACACCCTTTCTTTAAGAACTTCCCAGAGGAATTCAGCGCTTCTTTTGTGTTTCCCAGTATTGCTCCATCCCATAAAGTGACATAAAGTTACTGGAGCACCAATAACCTACAGTCGTCATTTCACATTTCCACATCCGTAGCTTTTGATTTATGAATCCACCATTTCCTCTGCTTCCTGGGGGCATCTCTCAGATTTTTAGCTTATTCACTTTGCCTGTCATCTCTTATACAACATCTCCACAGACGTCTGG